TAATCCATTGATGGACTCATAATGTGATGAATTATTGGTAGCTGATACAAACTTTAGGGGCTGAGGTCTAGTTGGAGAAGTAGGTTATTGGGGGTGATGCCTGGAACTGTTAGAGATTGGTTCTACTGCTGTTTTAATTCAATTTTGCACCCAAAGGCTGATGCTGAGGGTCTCCACCCCCAACTGGATTTGACTGGAAATAAAGAATTACCATACAGCCAATGGCTGGGCAGGTAAACTGAGGTGGGACCTGGGGATTTGTACAGGCTAGGAACCTGGGGAGAGGGAAGGGAGAGATTGCCATGACAGGATGAAAAGAGACCAGAACTAAAGACTCGCTTACATGTGAGAATCAGAGAAAGTGGCCAAATGGGCCACTTACCCAATTGTGTTTGGAGTAGCAGAGATGAAATATAAATTTTAAAAGATGTTAACTCAGAAGTACTGGATGGGAATGTTTGTTAACAGTGTGAAGGATAAGAACTGCCTAGTCTTTGAACTAGGCACATTAAAATTAACTGGTGTGTGTGTGTGTGTGTGTGTGTGTGTGTGTGTGTGTGTGTGTGTCTTTTATTAAATCCAGATTGCTCCTTGGTGGGTGCACACATACGACTCACTGAGAGCCAAAGTGGTTTAGCCTATTACCATTACATGGAACAGTGAACCCTGTCTTTGGATCCTTCTTTTGATTTTTCTCTGCTTCTTGGCTGCTATAAAGTAAGCAATTTTATTCAACAACATTCTGACATTTAAATGCCTTACCTAAGTCCTGAAAGCAATTAGCTATTGTCATGGTCACTGTTCTATTATTGTGAAGAGACACCATGACTGAGGCAACTCTTATAAAAGAAAGGATTTAATTGGGGAGTTGTTTACAATTTCAGAGGTTTAGTTCATTAATATCATAGTAGGGAGCATGGTGACATGTAGGCAGATGCTGGAGCAGTAACTAAGAGCTACTTTCTGATACATAGCAGAGAGAGACTCTGGCCTTCATATGGGCTCTTGAAACCTCAATGTCTGCCTCCAGTCCACACTTCAACAAAGTCACATGCCCTAGCCAATGGGGTCATTCTTATTCAAACCACTGCAGTCAACTACAGGATGAAACCTCTGAAATCATAAATGAAAATAAGTCCTTCCTTCATTAAGGTGACTTTCTTCAGTATATTATTACAATGATGGAAAGCTGACCAACACAATGGTATAAAAAGAAAGAGGAAAGCCAGTGACCAATTTTTAATTTATATCTGGTAATTTATAAGATTCTGTTACATTTTGTGTGATGGTTTGAATAAGAATGGCTCCCAATAGGCTCATAGATTTGAATGCTTGGTCACTAGGAAGTGACACTATTAGGAGGTATAGCTTTGCTGGTATAGGTGTGGCACTGTTGGAGGTACTGTGTCACTGGTGGTGGGCTTTGAGGTTTCAGATACTCAAGACAGGCCCAGTGTCACTCTTGTGATTGCCTGTGAATATGGATGTAGAACTCTAAGCTCCCTCTCCAACACCATGTCTGCCTGTGTGTATCCATGCTTACAGCCATGCTTCTCACTATTATTAAATTATTATTATTCCATTATTAAATGGACTAACTTCTGAAACTGTAAGTAAGCCTCAATTAAATGGTTTTGTTTATAAGAGTTGCTGGTCTTCTGTAGAATTACGTTACAACAGATGTGCTGGCAATCAAAAAAGAGTGAACCTTCCTTTTTCCAATGTCCTTATGTAGGAATAAAAAAAGAGTGAACCTTCCTTTTTCCAATGTCCTTATGTAGGCCTCCAGCAGACGGTGTGGCCCAGATTAAGGTGTGTACCACCACACCTGGATCTGGGATTTGCTTTGTCCCAGGCTGACCTTGAATTCAGAGATTTTTCTTGGCTTTTTCTCCTGGGATTAAGGTGTATAGCACCATGTCTGGACCTGAATTTAGCTGGGTGGGATCTTGCCCCAAGGTTACCACTCCCTTAATTCAGTTTAATATCCTTGAACACAGGGTTCAGCTCCATTTCACTTCCTGGTGCCCCTTTATTACTCAAACCATACGTTTTAATTTTCCTTTCTAAGCTTGCCATGCTTATTCAAAATAGTCTTCATGAGAGTTAACTAGAGAACAAAGTCTATAATGGGTGTTTCTGAGACTTCCATTGACAGTATAATTAATCTGAGTCTATTTGCTTTAGTCTAAGGCAGCCTCTTTAGACAAGAGCAAAAGACAGCCACATTCTTCACAAACTACCACAAAATAGCCTCTAGGCCATATATTGAAGTTAATCTCCCCTAAAAACTCTTGGGCCAGATCTGCACAGTTGAAGTCTCCCACAGCAACAGTCTTCTATATTCCTACTAGGATGACTCATTAAGCCCCACTTAAAACACCCTATAGCTTTTCAAATCCAAAGTCACCAAATCCACATTCTGACCATTCTAACAAAAGTATGGTCAGAGGCCTATTATAGCAATATACCACTCCAGTACCAACTTTGGTCTTAGGTAGGGTTTTACTGCTGTGAAAAGACAACATGACCAAGGTAACTCTTATAAAGACAACATTTACTTGGGGCTGGCTTACAGGTTCAGAGGTTCAGTCCATTATCATCAAGGCAGGAGCATGGCAGGATTCAGGCAGACATGGTACAGGAGGAGCTGAGAGTTCTACATCTCCATCCAAAGGCAAACAGGAAAAGACTAGCTTCCAGGCAGCTTGGAAGAAAGTCTTAAAGCCCATGCCTACAGTTACACACCTACTTCAAGGCTATGCCTCCAAATACTACCACTCCTTGGGCCAAACATATTCAAACCACTACAGCTATCATTTTGTTTTCCTTCAAGCTGTGATGTTACTGATCATATTATGATGCAGGATAAACAAGGTTATTAGATGTTACACACATTTTCCTGCCATGCTCTTGAATATGAGTGAAACAAGTATCTTCTTTTTTTAACTTTATAGCATAAAGTATTTTTATAGAACTGAAAAATGTACAAGGAAGATAGAAATTTCAATGATTTCTTGTGACACTAATCTTATATTAGTGTTGTGAATACCTGGAAATGCTCAAATCTGTGTTTCTAACAGTATGGTGCAGATTGATTGGACAGATTGTATTGTGTAAGGATCATCAGGCCTTACTTACTTACAAAATTTCTCAAATGCTGTATTTAATGACTCATAGAATACCAAAAGTGGAAGGTATCTTCACAGTCAGGCTGTTCATAGCCCATAATTGGTACAGGGGAAAGCAAAGCCTAAAAGAGCTTAGCCACTGAAGTAGTCTGAACTGAACTGCCACCCTCTAGCTTGACCTTCTGAGCCCCCAGGGTTGTTTTGTGGTACCCATTCATATATTTTTATTTTTTCATATGTACTATAACACAAATAAGCTTTTTGTTGTTGTGGGGCAGTGTTTCATGGGTCTATTGAAATTTTCCATGTATAAGAAGAATGTTTTTGCTCTTTGTTGCCTACTTAATAGCTTTGCATCGTATACTGGCATGTATGAAAATTGTTACAATAATACTTGAAAGTAGAGAGCAAAATCTCAGACACTTTATGGCTTCCCAGTTGCAAGCAATAGTTTCAGAAGTTGTTAAGAAATTTGCAAAAGTTGTGTTCTAATTAAAATAGTTTTTGTGATGCTGAAGCAAAAGAAAACAGCAAAACAAAAATAAAAGAAATGGAAAGCAGGTTATTATCTTGTCAGCTCCTATAATTAAAGATCATTGTGAAATATTCCCTGACATCTGAGTGGGGAGCAGTGTGTGATAAATTTTAATTATTATTTGAATAGGAAATCTCTCCTGCTTCTCCTTTAATGTAACATCTACTAATTTTCAAGGAATGATGGAAGAAAATTAATAGAAAGTGAATATAAACTAGAAGGATAAAGATGGAAATATAAGAAGAAAATTAGTAGAAAGTGAATATATTCTATAAAGATAAAGATGGAAATATAATCATGGGAAGTACTTTTCACATTCCTTCTAAACACAAACACATTAGAGTAATACAAATTGAAGTATCACCTTAAAGGTCCTTTGACTAAAAGCAAGAGAATTAATGTGATTTGCGATGAGACATATTCTAGAGATAGAAAAAGGGGATATAGACCATGTGAAACATCTCATTTGAAACATGACACACTCAGATCTAGTAAGAGGAAGGGTTTCAAGTTCTTGGATTTTAAGTATGGTAATAAACTACATGCATTTTTTATCATTCTATAATTTTTCTAATTTTTGCTTCTGTTCTTTTGCTTATTTGTAACTCAATTTTAGGAGTTCTGTAAGGAAATACCATTTTATTTCACTTATAATGCCCTACTATATAATTATCTGTTGAGTATCTGCCATATTGACTCTAGATGTATCATATTCAGTACCATACAAAACAACCTTCTGCCACTACAGAAATAATCCCTATGTCTAAGATGATAGTCACAAGCTACACAAGCCAGGCAGTTATTGAATTCTTGATATGGAGACTATGATTGAGAAACTGATTTAAGTTCATTGAATTTTAGATAATTAAAATATATGCTTAGAAAGCCACTTTTGGCTTATTTTTACTACATGTGACTAACTATAGTGACTGCACTAACTACAGCACAAACAGGAATGTTAAGAGGAATTAGAAGCCTGATAAAATTTGTTATTTTAGTTATTTATTTTTGATGATGTACAATAAGTAGCAATGCTTCAATATACATACTACAAAACTCCTTCATGTATTAAGTAAATATTTATACACATGTGTAACATGGTAAGTGAAGTGGAAGTATATAAAACACCATCCATCCAAAGAGTTAAAATCAGTAGGTGTATACGTCATCAGGAAAAATTAGCCCAAATCTCGCGAGATTAGCAGCTATCACGAGAGCTCAAAGTTCCATGAGAGTTTCAAGTCCCACGAGAGTTTAACCGCTGACGTTGTGGGTCGTCCACAATTGGTGGGGCGTCACTATCGCCTCAGGCTTGTTAGTTGGAGACCTCAATCATGCCTTCGGACCTCAGGCCAAGGCAGGGAAGGAATAGATCTAAGAGCCGTGCTTATCGTGGAGCACGTTCAAAGATAACAGCTGCTGATACTGGGTACAGAGGTGAAACTCCTGTCCTCAAGATGTATCGGGGGGTTCCGAGTTCTGCCCAGGGGAACAACATGGCGGCTGCCCCTCGGTTTGGGTTTTGGACTTTAGTAAGCCGGTGTCTGCAAAATTTTTGGGCCCAGAGGCATTTGGGCTTGCTTCTGCTTTTACTCTGGACTCTGGTGATCCTGTGCTATCTTGTGAAAACTGATGAATGTTGGTTCTAGGCAAGAGAAAGGGTGACAGGGACTTGGAAAGTATGAGGAAGATGAAGACAAGTTTGGGACAGAGCGATCAGTAGGCCTGGGAGGGGACTGGAGTAAAAGGAGGGTATTTGGGGTGCTAGTCAGCAGGGGTAATGGGGCCAAAGGTGGCAGGGTGAGACAGAATGGTAGGGGGATTGATAGGGGTTAGTAAGGCAGGGATTGAGGGGATGAGGCACAGGAGAGGGGATGAGGCAGGGGTAGGGTTTGCAGGAGCCTATAATGCAGTGCTGGGGGGATGGGATGTGGAGTCAATGGTGAATTCTGGTCCTCTGAGACAAAAATTGCTCTTAACTACTAATCTCACTAGCACCTATAATAATAATTATTATAGTAATTATATAAATTACCAATATTATATAAACTTTAATATTAATAATTATATAATTATAAACATGTAATTATACATTATTAAAGTGTGCTATTATTTTTACTAATAATATCAATATTAAAATTATGTTGATTATAGTATTTGTATTTTATATAAATTATAATTAATGACACTATATTAGAGAATAATAAAAAGTAATAATGTTATTATGTGGGGATGTATGTATGTGTGAGTAAATAGATGTTTGTGTATACCATAGACTGCATATGGAGGTCAACATTGTAGAGTCAAGTCAATTCTTTTTTTCCTAACTTTATATTTACCTTCCAAGAATCAAATGCAGGTTGTCAGAATTACTTGGCAAGTACTTTTATCAATAGCTCATCTTGTTAGGATCAGATCAGTCCTCTGTATAATAGTACAGTGTGCAAGGCCCTCCCTGGGTTTAATTTGAAGTATTAAAAAGAAAAATATCACCAAACAAAACAAATGATAACAAAATAATGAAGAATTTACTAAAAAGAATTTTAAAATATTAGCAGATATATAGCTCTAATGATATTCTAAGCAAATGATAATCATTGGAATGTTCTTTGAAATAAAAATGAGTTAAAAACAACATAAATGTTTTACTAAATAATAATTGAGGCATAACAAGGAATACCTGAGTAATAATTAAAGGGGTGGTTGGAGAATATTTTTTCTTACATGGGAATTATGCAAATGAAACTAAAATTGGGTTCTCTGTTGTAGAACAAAAGAGGGCTAAGGATACTTTCTGTATCTCTGTGTAAGGACATCAGCACAGTTTTCAAGACTTTGTATCATAGGCTGTAATTTAGTTGGAACACATACTGTTTCTGATTTTTCTTTTCTTTTTTGTTCCTGATTTTTCCATTGGTAGGCCTTAAAACATTAAGCTTTTTGTTAGGCAAAATTGTTATTTAAATCATTGTTCAGAAGGCCAACAGTATGTGTGAGATGGTATGTTAAATATTTGCTAATTTTAATACTTTTTCAGTTTTGTAGCAGAATCACAATCTGATTATCAATATTCTTTATGCTGTTACAGATTAAAATGCAACCTATTATATATCAATAATTAGTTTAAGCAAAGGTTAATTACTATTAAAGCTTCATTGAAAAATGATAAACGTTTATATATACAGGGATTAATAATTTCACTTCTAACATTTCTCAGACTCTCTGACTCCAAAAGCAAAATTTTCCTGGCTTGGTGATTCTGTAGAACTTGGACCTCAATTGGAAAGTATGCTGGACTTCTTCTTTCCAACAAGTAAGCTGTTGATTCTGTTTTTAAACTTAATGTCCTTGTTTTAAAACAGTAATTAAGTACTCAGGAAGGGGTGTGCTTTCTCAATATTGTAGTGGAACAGACCTACACTTGAGACCTGACTCTGCCCTTTGCCTTACGGAAGATAATCTCTCTGGAATCAGTGTTTTCATCTTATAATGAAGATGTATACCCCAGGAATTTCTAGGATAAAGTGGGACAATAATTGCAAGGCAGATGTGGCAGATTAAGGCTTAAGTTTGTAATTTTGCTTAAAATACTTTTCCTTTAGAAGTACTTAAAGCCTTTATAATTTACCTGAGTGACATGGCCTAATTTAGTCACTGACCCAGTATTGTGAAATTGATGTCTTCTGTGGCATTAAGCAGTGGCTCTGTTGTTATGTAATATACCAGATGTTTTCCCATCTGTGTTAATGATAAAAAGTTCAGGTTTCAAGTCACATTGTTTGGTGATATGTATATAGTGTTTTTGTTGTTGTTTGTTTTGTTTTAAATCAAGCACATGGTTGCATTTGAGAATTATTAACCACAAATAAACGTGTTTTATTTTGTGCAGCACGTGGTCCCCTTTCAAAGTGAAGTTTCTCATAAATTGTCATGACAAAGATTTTACTAAAAGCTATGCAGAATTTATTCCAAGAAAATCCAACATATTTACCTAAACACAAAGTTAAATCCGTTGTTGAATTCAATATCTCACCACTCAACTTTTCTGTGAAAAAAATCTCTTTAAGCTTATCTAGTGGTATGATCAAGTATAAAATAGCTATTGTAACACCTGCTATCTATGAGAATAGCAAAATACTTGGGTTCTTAAATTAAAGCTACTGTTATAGTCAAGTTGAATGAATAAGAAAATAAGTCTGGGAAATGTTATGTTGGATAGGCTAAAAGGAGGGCTTATTGAGTATAACAAAAAAAAATGACAGTTTAAGCTTTAGAACTTTGAAAACAGTCAGAAATAAACCATCAAATGCTTGCCTAGGATGGTTGCAGTAGTACAAACACTGACAAAGTGGCGTTGAAAAGAGTTCAAATGGGATGTTTATTTTTAATTTCAATTTTCCTAACCTAACACAAGAATTGGAATCGAAATCAATTGTATAAAATATTTTTCTTCAAATCAAATAGTTTCTTCTCTTTCCTTCCTTTTTTCCTTCTTCTCTTCATTTCTTCCTTTTATTATTTTTGACAGGCACCAACATAGCCAAAGGTAATCTCCAAATTCTTTATGTAGTCAAGGATGATATTAACCTTTTGTTCCTTTTGCTGCCATCTCCGAAGTTCTAATTCTAGAATTAGAACTACATGCCATGAGGCCTGGGTTTTATGTGGTTCTGGGGAATCAAACCCAGGGTCACATGTATATTAGGCACAGACTTTATCAACTAAGCAACATTCCCAGCCTTGCTTCCGTTTTTTAAAAAAAGAAACATTTGACCTAGATTGAGTCATATGTTTGAAAATTCAGGATTAATACTTATCAATTGTACATGCTATATGATGTGTTTATAAAAAAGATAAATAGAAGAGGGGATATGTTCTATGGAAATGTAATGAGGTATAGGGGAAGGGAGTGCCTCAGCAGGCCCATGCCAAGACATCCCTTCCCCCTGAGGGACCAGCCACAGGACACACAAAGGTATAGTATAGAATAGAGTTTATTCCAGGCATGAGGAGGGGAGTTAAGAGGGTAGTAGAGGCGGCGAAAGAGAGAGTAGAGAAATAGAGGATTAGAGGCTACGAACACGTGGAGAGAGAGTGGGGAAGGGGATGGGGGGGGAGGGACAAGGGGGGCAGAGTGGGAGCAAGAAGGGAAGAGCAAGAGACCAAGAGAGCTAGGAGGGGCCAACAGCCGCTTTTATAGTGGGTCAGGCATACCTGGCTGTTGCCAGGTAACTGTGGGGCAGAGCATACCTGGCTGTTGCCAGGTAACTGTGGGGTGGAGCTTAGACAGAATGCTAACATTCCCCTGTTTTGGTTTAATTAGAAAAGGAAAAATTAGAGAGAGTCAACGGTGGAGCAGGAATAAGGTGATCATGATATCTTGCTACTTCCTGCTGGTATTGGCAGGGCAATGTGTCTCTAGGAAACTTAGAAGAATAGATTTGGGGATTTGCCCAGTCTTAGTAGAGTTGTCTGTTTCGTCTATGGAACCGTCTGTGGACAGATCAGAAGGAACAAGTCTAGTAGAAGTGTCTATGTCTGTGAGAGAAGGTTGGAACATCTGTAGGTTGCTTCTCTGGAGCTGTCCTGGATGTAGTAAATGCCTGGACTTGACAAGATGCTGAAACACACACACACACACACACACACACACACACACACACACACATTAAAGGTAGAGAATAAGATAAAGTACATTTGGGAGAAAGAAAAAATTTTTTCCTTAGATGTACATTTCAATCCTAGAGGAATTCCACCCTCAGGAAAAGGTAGTAAGTAGGAATTTTAGGCAGATGTACTTGTCTCTTTGGTCCATGAGAGGTAGATCTAAGTGAGTTTCCTGTAGCTTATAAGTTTAAAGAGATAACAACATGAGTTAACAACATGACTTGTCTTTAGGAACTCAGATAATGTTAGGACAAAGGGATAAGAAGAAATATGACGAATTTTATCAGTGGAGCCCGAGTTTAGGTAAGGAATTAACTGATTACATCTGTAAAAGTTTTTTTCTAGCTGTAAAGCTACAGTTATCTTAGCTGTCAATGTAGTCAGAAGTCTGGGAAGAATAAACAACAATCTACCAGTCATATATTATTTAAAAATCGACAGAGTCCCCTATCCAACAGTTCCCTGTGGTCTCTGTGGCAACTTGGGCAGAATCAGTCTGGCTTTCAAGCTCAGAAGACGAAGAGACATTTTTCTCTGTGGAATGGATACATGTGACATGAGAAATGGCTTACCTTGATTTTGATGCGTCATTAGACTCAGGGCATCCAATTTTGTCCACTGTGTTTCTCAGTGATTATCATATCACATTCAAGGCAGTATCTTGTAGCTGTGTCCAAATCTTCTGAGACCTTGTGGGACAAACTGTTAAAGGCTTTAGGAGATTGTCTTGTCATAAACTTAGTAATTAGCAGACTTCTGACAAGATTGAGGGCTATATAGATCTCATAAGATTAAGGGCTATATTGATTCATTATATCTGAATAGAGCACACCATAATTTAATGGCAGTAGAAAAAATCATTTATCAAGACAGGATAGGAACAAAAATCTTAAGTAACTTGACAGGCTGTGCAAGTAGAGAAAAACACATTTTTGCATTAGCAAAGAAATATTTGTTTGAGAGTTAGTGTGGACCAGAGTAAGAGAGCTAACAACAGTGGCTTCAGATGATGATGACAGAAAGTGAGTTTGTCCAGTTGGGTTCAGGCTTGTGACAAGGACTGTCTGGGCAGGCCATGAGAACAGGTTCGGGGCGCAGGCATATATCACTGATGAATTGTAAAGAGAGCAGGCTGATCCACAGGAGACAGGTATGCTGAACAGCAGTGGTGGCGGCAGCAGGGGCAGCCAGGTGAGCAGAATGGTTGGGGTTGGGTGTGTAGAGCAGCCGGCAATTCACAGCCCTTCTGTGGAGCTAAAAACAGGCAGGCATGTATAGCTATGGCTTCCTTTATTTTGAGACAGCAGCTGTGAGAAGTTTACTTCAGCCAAGTGGGGGCGGGACTTCCTTCTAGCAGCCAGAAGTCGTGGCCCAGTGCTCCTGCTATTGGAATCCATGGTGGGTGGGGAAAAGGAAGCACCTGAAGTAGTATCCTCTATCCCATCAGTGTGCACGCTATTCTTATGTCGAAAGGCACTGCTAGCCCTCACTTTATATCTTCTTAGGTGGGGGGGGGGGAGGAGAAGAGGGCAAGGGAGGGGCTCCCTCGAAGGCAGGTGCTGGGGAAGTGGCTTCGTGGACAAGGCAAAAACTGTTTTTCTCACTACTGGAGTGGAAGTGGAGACAGGGCAGATAGGGGCAGACAGGGTCAAAGCTGCTTTTAGCAGGCAGGCAGGGCCCAGAGGCATCTTTTTCAGGGTGGGGAGAGGCAGGTGGTCAGGAGTGTGAGAAAGCAAGTCTCACAAAGTCCCTGGCAGGATGCAAGGGGCGGGGCCAAACCCACTTTCCTCCCTCCTGTCCCCCCTGCAAATCAGGAGCGAATGCGAGAGGGGAAGGGGAGTAGACAGAGTCCCTGGCTGGGTGCAGGGCCAGACCTACTTTTCAGGTGGTGAACTGTCTGAACTAGCAGAACCTGAGCTGGAGCAGGAGCCAGCAAATGAGGGAGGGAGTAGGGGGAGAAGCCTACATTCCTACACTATGGGTCACTAGCGAGAAAGTGCCAGTTTAGTGGTCATATATGTAGAGATATTGTTTTCTGTTAACTGAATTAGACCGAGACATCCCAGTAAGTTGGGACAAGGTGGTGAAGATTGACCCATCATGGGTAAGAGAATAGGGTTATTAACGCCCCTACTAGTGTCCTGAGGGGCATCATTAACAACCAGGGAGATTCTAGCACAGGTCAGGCCTCCAGTTCGTCATGTGGGGGCCTGGGCTACACTTGGAGCCAGTGCTCCTGAGCCAGAGAGCAGTTTACCTGGATGTAGGAATTTCTCAGCAGCAACAAAGAAACTATCTCCAAGGAAAAGAGGAAAATCTCACCCAAGGGGAAAAGTCCTAGAACAAGGGTCAGTGAAAGATTGAATGTCTCACATCCTCTCGGGCAGCACAAGGGTAGCTCTGAGCTCAAGAACTCTCCCTTGGGATCATGTGGACATTTAACATGACCAGTAGGAATAGGGGGGCTTACCAGTTCTCCGAAGTTTGGGCTAGCAAGCATGGATCTACATGTTGTAGCAGGTGGTATGCAAACCTGCAGAGTTTCTAAATCCCAGGTTTCAGCACCAATGATGTGTTTATAAAATGATAAAGAGAAGAAGGGATATGTTCTATGGAAATGTGATGAGGTATAGGGGAAGGGAGTGCCTCAGCAGGCCCATGCCAAGACATCCCTTCCCCCTGAGGGACCAGCCACAGGACACACAAAGGTATAGTATAGAATAGAATTTATTCCAGGCATGAGGAGGGGAGTTAAGAGGGTAGTAGAGGTGGAGAAAGAGAGAGTAGAGAAATAGAGGATTAGAGGCTACGAACACGTGGAGAGAGAGTGGGGAAGGGGATGGGGGGGGAGGGACAAGGGGGGCAGAGTGGGAGCAAGAAGGGAAGAGCAAGAGACCAAGAGAGCTAGGAGGGGCCAACAGCCGCTTTTATAGTGGGTCAGGCATACCTGGCTATTGCCAGGTAACTGTGGGGCAGAGCATACCTGGCTGTTGCTAGGTAACGGGTGGAGCTTAGAGTGCTAACACTGTTTTGAAAACAATAATTATGAACTACTCAATGGAAAGGATTTTGAGTATTCCTAACACAAAGAAATGATAAATGCTTAAGATGATATTATATCATCTATATATGGTATATATATCAGTTACTCTGAAATAATTATTACATATATACTGTGTACATATATAAACATAGATTTATTGCAAGGTCACTGTACCCATAAATGTGTACAGTTATTGCCTGTCATTTAAGGATACATTTTTGTGATTCTGAAATGGTTTTTACAAGTATGTATTTCTTAAAATAACCTTCTAAAATAGCATATAAAGGACTAGATTTCAGTTTAGTATTTGCATCCTTCCTTCGCTTTTACTACTCTTCTTTTCTGGTTTTACTCCTCTGCTCATCTCCTTGTCCTCCTCCTTCCCTCAGTAACTCCCTTTTGCTTCATGTCATAATACTATGTTTTAATAATTTGTTTTTATTGTTATAATAATGTGTCTATATGTTAGTCTGTGATTGTACATGTACAATGTGCATGTGTCTGTAAGTGCCCAGTGAAAATAAAGGTATTAGATTCTTCTGGAGCTGGAGTTACAAGCAGTTGTGAGCCACCTAACATGGACATGAGGAATCAAACTCTCGTCTTCTGGAAGTGACATATTCTTAACTTCTGAGCCATCTCAATCCCCCACATATATTCAGCTTACTTTTTTCTTCTTTTTTCTACTCCCTTAAGACTCTTTTTACCCCTTGTCATAAGTCTCCTTTCTAGTTTCATACCCACCATGTACTCACACTGTTGTGTTTTATTAAAAAGAAAGAAAGGACCAGGATGTATTTGGTAGAGTGAGCTATAGTGAGGTCGAGGGGGGGTGCCCTCTTGGCCCCATGCTGAGACATCCCTTTAGTCTGAGGTACCAGTTTGGAATAAAGTTTATTTTGGGCGTAGGGAGGGGAATTGAGGAGGGAGTAGAGGCTGAGCAAGGGGGGGAGGAGAGAGAGAGAGAGAGAGAGAGAGAGAGAGAGAGAGAGAGAGAGAGAGAGAGAGAGAGAGAG